GAGGTCCTCACTCTAATAAATCGGCTCATCCAGCCTCGATCTTTGTCTTCATCGTTACTAGCAAAGAAGGCCTTTTTTGATCGACGTTGCAGCTTGATGAGCCCTCGAAACAACTGAGGCCGATACAGCCGAATGAGATGGTTGAGGGTAAACTCCAATCCCTCGGCCTTGCTGGAGAAATATCGCAACATAATTACGATGCACCAAAAGGAGGGATGGATCTGGCCGAGGGTAACCTCGTACCTTTTGTAGAAGTCGATCACTACCGGATCAAGGGTACCCAGTGTGAAAGTGTAAGTTTAAACACTTAAGAACCCCTCCACATGGGTAGTGATGCTTTCCTCGGGGTTTGGGATCTGTACCACGACTTGTCTCCCCAGCCGCAATCCTTCTTCATGGCCTTGAGGTACTTCTTCGATATCGAACTGATATATCGAGATACATGTTCGCATCGACCTGGATATCGAGGGGATTTTCAATATTGAAATCCTTTTTAATCACACAACCGGGAGTGATTTCGTGAAGAGCCGGTGGCACCACTGGTTTGGCTAGCCGGGAAGAAGAAGAAGAAGATGGTGCCTTCTCCTTTTGAGGGATTGTTTTGGAAGTTTTAGCCATAGTTTTGAGCTAAAAAATGCACATGGTGGTGGAGCATGTTGTTTTCTGAGAGCTTGGCATTTTCTGGCACTTAAAGGAGCGGTGAAAGCGGATGGTGAGAGAAAGAGGTGAAGATGAAAAGGTTATCAGAGAAAAAGTGATGAAGAAGTAAAGTTTTTAATTCAAGGATGGAGCCCCGTATTTATAGATAAGCGGTGACGGTTCGGCAGCGCTAGTGGCCGACCATTACTGGCATGCATTTAATATTTTGGGGAAGCGAACCGACGGGACTTTTCGGTCACTTCGAGCGCCTACATCACGGGAATGACGCCATCGTCAGAGACTCCGGAAGATCGAGGTTAAAATTATTTCTTATCATCTTATTCTAAGAAACGCGGGGACTATCTGTATACGCTCGAGATCAGGTGTAATACCCCATAACTTAACCCGAGGACAAATTGATCATTTAGCTAACAAAAAAAATTAAAAAAAAAGGAACAAAAAGGGCCGAAGCCCACCAGAAACAATCTTGCAACATTCAAAAGGGTTTAGAGGAATGAAGCCAAAGGCTTCAAGAAAAAAGAAAATAAACAGTAGTATCCGTCAATCAAAGTTTCAAAAGAACGAACCACGACAAAGCAACTGAAGAAGGAAATTTCACCTCATAATTGCTACCCGTGAAAGCATTGTTCGACTTAAAGGTCAAATTTTCCCTTCCTTTGATTCTACTTGGGTTTGTAGCAATTTCTTTTAATTTTGATCACGCTGTTTATGAGATTAAATTGGATATCAAAAGTTTAATACCGGCAAGAAATATTATAAGCCACAATATTAGTCAAGTTTCTTCTGATTCACATGATTAATGAGATTGAAGGGTATAATGAATAGACAATACGAATGCGCTTTAATTAGAAGATAATGAACTGGTTTAGGTTAATTGTAGCATGAGTAGATATAAATTTTCATAGGTTGAGGTAAACAGTAATATTTGCAACTCAAAAGTAGTTTGATTCAACTCATATAGATATGAGAATACCCATGAATAACTAGAATCTTTATTGTGAAATAGGCTAAGTAGCAAACAAGGCGAACCGTATCAAATTAATATTTTTAATAATTTAAGTATATAATCAAAATGCTTACTTAACCTGTTGAGCTTCTGTAAAACCAAAGAGGATATATGATGTAAACTATTAATTTTATTCCTTGCAAAATTTTCAATATATTTAGAAAAGAAGTTGAAAAAAAAAAGGTTTGAGATTTGAAAAAAAAAAAAAAAGCAAATTTGTGATAGATTATGAAGAAGTAGAATTACTCATAACTTGGGTAAAATAAGAATAATAATTTGACTAATTGAGAGTCAAATATATAACCCCGATGATTGGGTATTGTAAATTAGCTATGAATTAGCCTAAACAAGGAAATTAACATGAGATCGATATTATGTAATTTTAGATTGATTGGAGGAATTTGTACGAGTTGCTTGAAGATGAAGCAGTTGGTATTTCGGCACGAGTACTGTGAGTAGTAGTCTTACCGCAATTTGTGTTTTCATAACTTGCATGATTTACACATAATTTTTAATATGAATATGTTACCGACTATTTTGAGTTGCATGTGGGACAAGTCTTTTACTCGATATGATACCGAAATAGTTATTTGAGATGAATACCGTGGTTTTAAATATTTTCGTTGTCATTGGATCTGTTTGACCGTTACTTGAATTTACTGTTATCGAAAGGAAATTATATGATTTGATAAAAACCGAAATGCCCTATATTATTTTAAAATAGTTTCTACGAGTATATACGGATTATAGAGACAAGTATAAATGGGAGTAGACATTGAAGGATCCCGTAGCTAATGGCGGGTTCGTTAGACCTGGTGCACCTTGTAATTACTGATTACCGTTATAGCCCTCGCTAGTGGGAAGGTAGAACTAGCATACCGTTACTGATTTTCCTTGAGTAGGGATTACCGTTATATTTGACTTCTTGCGAAGAAGTCCATCGTTCATTGAAGCCTCCCAAAATGTGAATACTGATATTATACAGTGGTTACCAAGCTTATTACTGAATTGTTAATTATATTATACTACAAGAAAAGTGTGATGAGACTAAAATTTTTTTTATTATTTCTGAAAGGGCATTTTTATGTATTTTCTCTTTGAGATACTAGCATGTTTCTGACTTGTCCCCAAATAAAAACGATTTTGGTTAAGTGTTATTACTCACTGAGCTAGCGACTCATTCCCCGCTAATTTTTTTTTTACAAAGACAGCGGTAGACGCGGGCGAGGATTTCGTTAATTAGAGCGCACAGGTTGATAGTTCTTGGTGAGCCTCGCACTTGTTCGCGTGGGCGGAGATTTTATTATATTGTTATACTCTTTTCTTTGAATTCTTAGAGTCGCTCCATAGTCATTCTTTTAGTGTCATGAGTATTATTTTGCTATTAGTCTTATGTTGAGTATCGTTCTCATTTATCAAAGTTGGAGATAAATTAATATTTCTAGTGGTTACTTGGTGGTTTTGTTATGATGGAGACTTGTATTGGTTAATTGACAAGTTGTCAATTGTTTGGTATAATATTAGGATGTTTGGTTGCTGATTTGAGACAGGGAAATTTTTGGGATAGTCCAAAAATAGGGGAAACTCTGTCCAATTTTCTGTAAAATACCGATGAGGCTTACTTGGGGGCACTTGCTCCTAGGTGCCGGTCATGATCCTAAATTGGGTCGTGACATTAGGTATGCCCGATCTCCCAGGCTCGAGGGGTCGCCTTAGGCCCGAGTTCAGGTAAGGTCGAGTTTGAGATTGATGGACCAGACTCGAGCTCGAAGACAGAGTGCAATGCCCGAAGATTGAAGTACGATGGATATCGAAGCCAAGTATGCTCGACCCCGAAATAATGCCGTTATGAATTTGTAATAGAATGAGCGAGATTCCTGCCACATCCCTAAAATCATGGTACAAATTCCGGAATAGAATTGTATGATTCCGTACTAGGCGGTTAGACATCTGTCACAATAAGATTCCTTGCTGTAAATGGAAATGTACCTTATTTAGGGTTCCCCTGTTATATAAAGGGGACCTCAGTCATTTGTAAACATTATCTAATCATTGGCAAAGAGTATACTCTCTACTTTTCGCTCATTGTTCATCAGAATTATCCTTTAGCTTTATTGTTCTTGATTCATCTCGTGGTCACTGAGCTCGAGGTTGATACTACTTAGTAAACACTGGTTTGATTTCACTCATTTCTTTCATTTATACTTTATAATTCTTGATTATTAATTGGTATTGAATTGAATCACATATCTTTAAAACCACAAATCAAATTTTATTATTACTCGTATTTTCGAGGTAAATAGTTACAAGAAAATTATTTTACTTTGCTCTAGGTGTATCACAAAAAGTCACCTTGGCCAGATTTTATAATGCTTTTACTTAAAAAGTCTATTATGCCCTTGGCATTATATAAATACTCTTATTTATGTAATACCTTCTATATTATACTATATAATATATTTTACCTAGATATTAATTTTAAATATAATTAAATAACTATATATTATTTAATATATAGTTATTTGCCAAGGAGGGAAATTCAAATATTTCATTTTCGCTCAATTTCCCATTCACCCTCTTTAAGCTAACTCAAGCTTAAAAAGCCCAACAAATCGTACGTGTAAATCGCAAAATATTAGATACTTTTTGTCCGGTAGATAATTCCTTACTCATCAAAATTTCTCCAAAATAACCAAAAACACCAGAGCAGTAAAACAAAGAAGAAAGTAAATTCCTCTTTTTGTTTAAAATTTAATAGGAAAGGAACCTAAGCATTCCTTATCCTAAAATTGAAATGCATATAAATCAATGCTTCAATCATAAATCAGGAACAACTCGTATCTCTCACTCGATCAAATCGAGTAATTGTAATGTTGTAATGGATATCGAAAACCAAAAAAAAAAAAAAAAAAAAAAAAAAAAATGGATTCAAGGATATAATAAAGGAAATAAGTAATTTAGCCTCAAGTAGTTGCGCACCCAGTAGGAAGCCACCCTCAATTCAGTAACAACGGAAAGAATTAACAATAAATGGTGAAGAGGAGAGGATGCAGCAAGTAGTTGTGCAAATCAGAAGAGAGACCAAAAGAAGAAACTGCTAGGAGCGGTGAGCGCATGATAAAAATAGAAAGTATCCTAATAATACCAAGTAGCATGTCTTTTTTTTCCCCTTCAATACGTACTCTTTAGCTGGAAAAATGACGCAGATTCTATTCGAGTAGTTCCTGGAAATATATGCATAAGAAAAGTGCTTGGAATGAGTTCTATTTATGTTGGTGGCCAAATCCTTTGATTCAGTGTAGGGGATAAATTGCATTCACAGAGTCAAAAGATATATATGATGTATTGGATGCGATGATTCCAAAAATAGTTTGCTTATTCATTTATATATATACTAGTTATTGTTAATTCAGAATCAATATGAAGGTTTTGATTGTGGTTGATTGGGAATCTTTGAGGTACTTGTGAGTGAGGTGGTAAACTATGCGATCACGAAATGCTAAAACACATAAAGTAAGAGATACAAGGACGGGAAGTAATGCGTTTCAATATGTGTGTCCACCAAAACGTCTGTGCCTTTGTTGAAAGGAATGTATGGCCTCCTTCAGATGTTGTTCGCCAAAGTCAGGAAATAGAGTATTTGTAAAATACAGTTCAGAGTAAGCGAGCTGCCACAATAAGAAGTTACTGATTCTCTGTTCTCCACCAGTCCTTATGAGTAAATCAGGTTTAGCATACTTGGCACACTTGGTGGCGAGTTCTTCATCAAATAATTTGTTGTCGATATCCTCTAACTGTAGAAGACCATCCTTTACTTTACTGGCAATGCTCTTGGTTGCTTCTAGAATGTCATAATGTCCTCCATAGTTTAGTGCCAACATAAGATGAAGTCTTGTGTTGTCTTTTGTGGTCTCCTCTGTTAACTCTATGCGTTTCTGTAACGTGATGGGAAGTTTGGATCTACCGCCAATAACAGACACTTGTACTCCAACCCTGTTGATTTAAAGTTATGAGAAAATTGGAATGTCGGAATTTCTATGTCCCAATTTATATGATACTTTAGTCGGTTCAAAAGAATGACACACTTATATAATAAGAAGCAATTTGATTTTAAACTTCTCTTTTTATCATTAATGAGACAATTTATAACCATAGAAATATCTATGACATGTTTTAGAGCAGAAGTTTTAAGAGAATTTTTTTCTTTGTTTCTTAAGTTCTTAAAAATTTAAGCAATAATAGTGAAAGCTTCCTCCCAGGAAGACTTTAAAGATCGTGCAGAATTTATACATGAAAAATAAGTAGGGAAGCCACCAAACTGGATCAAGATATATATATAGTGGAGTATAGTTTAACCAAAGAAGGTACCTCATAAATTCTTCAAAGAACTCCTCGAACAGTTGCATTAAGAAATCAACCTCCTCCTGCTCAAACTCAAATTGTTATTAAAATCATGTAAAATACAAATAGCAAATAACTCGTTACTACTATTATCGATTGGCAACTAAATCGATTTAGAAAGAAGCTTCATATATTTAGTCAGAACATGCTTGCCATCATGATAAGGGAAAATATATAATCAAACAATTAATATCGTACATATGAATGCGTATAGGTCCATTTTAAAGTTCAAAATTAAGCTAACAAATTAATCTTGGAGTTGCAACGTAGGATGAGTACCTGGGAACGGGTCCAGTTTTCAGTAGAGAAAGCAAAAGCAGTGATAACTTGTATTCCCAGTTTGGAAGAAATGTTGCAAATATTTTTGAGATTTGGAGTAAGAAATTTGTGGCCCTCTTGCACAGGTAAACCTCGAGCCTTAGCCCATCTCCTGTTTCCATCCATTATCAAAGCAACATGTTTAGGGATAATTAGTTGGATACGACGATCATCATCGATATTATGCTTTTCCAGGTTCAATGAGTTTGAAATCTTGCAAAATAATGATGAATTCAATGGAGATGGAGATGATGATCGAAGACCCAAATTAGAGCTCTTGGATGTGAGGAGCTGGGCCTGGCACATGACTAACAAAGAGCTCATTCCTTTCTACTATAGGAAAGTTAAACAAGGGGGAAGGGGTGGGGGTATGAGCGTACGTAGTAGGTACGTTGCAAATAGCTCATTTCCTCAACCTTAGTTCGTACTATTTATATAGGCATATGATTAGAGTTAAAACACACTTCATGTGAAATTCGACAGACATCTCTGAATGATTTTGGGTTGAAAAAGACACTGATATGAGCGCGTGATTTTCTTTAAAATAATCATTCTACTTTTTAATCATTACAAAAAATCAAAACGGCAAAAACAAAAAAACACCTGCATTTTTGGGTCGCACTAAGCTAATCGACAATAATGAGAATTACAAAGAAAAAAGAAAAATTACTTTTGGGATTATAAACACACGCAAGGGATAATAAGGCATAAGGTTAACGATTTCTCTGATATTTGTTTATCCACTTAGAGGGTGTTTGGCTAAGCTTATAAGCTGGTCAAACTAGCTTATAAGCACTTTTTGGGTTATCTAGGTGTTTGGTAAAGTTAAAAGTGCTTATAAGCCAAGTCCTTATAAGTCAAAAATAAGCCAAAAGCCATAAACTGGTCACCCCTAGCTTATGCTTTTTTAGCTTATAAGCACTTTTAAGTTTGACCAAGATTTTTACTATTTCATCCTTAAAATTCCTTTTTAGAACAAAACTCCCACATGATTGACTATTTAACCTACCTCCCCCCCCCCCCCCCCCCCCCCGGCCTCTTCAAGTTTACAATTCTCATTGACTATTTAAGACAAGCAAATTCTTTATTCTTTTGCATATTTATATCTATGTGATTGAGTATTAATTTTTGAAATGTATGTAATAAATAACGAAATATCAAATTTTTGGTGTATTGCTTTCTAAGTGTTGCGTGATGTTTGTTTCTCTTCAAATATTTGGTCCTATTTAGGTTTATTTTTTATTGAGAAACTTTTGTCAATATATTAATTATTATAACTTATGATTATATGCTTATCATAAAATAAATTATATTTATCATAAAAATTATCTTATCTAAGTACAGTTTTATTTAAAATAAAATGACAAATAGAGAGCCCGTTTGGCTTAGCTGATTTAGAATAGCTGATAAGCATTAGGTGCTGAAAAGCACTTTTAAGTGCTGAAGCTGATTTAATAAATAAGCAGTTACATGTTTGGATAAAGGTGTTGAAATTAATAATAAGTAGCTGAAACTGTTTGATNTTCAAAATTTTTAGATTCTAAATAGATTCAAATACAAAATAACCTATTTATCATGTTATTTTAATTATAAAAATAATTAAATAATATCTTTTTTTATAAATATAATTTATGTTATGATAAGTATACAATCATAAATTAGAACAGGTGGAGAGAAAGCATTCAAATTAACCTTGTACAATACTCTTTTGTTTTTATACAACTATTTGTTGTACCAAGTCCACGTAAAAATATACAACTAAAAGAGTAGGAATCTCTTACTTGAGGATAACAGTTAATAAAGTCACATAGGTATAACAATACGAAGAAGACAAGTGAATTTCGTAACCTCAAATTGCCGACAGAAATCTGAAGAATTGCAGAGGCACATGCTTTTTAGGTTTTTGAAGAACTGGAGAGAGTATAATTATACGAGGAGTTTTGTTTTGAAAAGAATTATTTTAGGGATAAAATAGTAAATATTTTGGTCAAACTTAAAGTGCTTATAAGCTGAAATTTGATAAGTTGGGGGAGACCAACTTATGGCTTTTGGCTTATTTTTGGCTTATAAGCACTTGACTTATAAGCACCTTTAATTTTACCAAACACGTAGATAAGCCAAAAAGTGCTTATAAGCCAGTTTGACCAGCTTATAAGCTTAGCCAAACACCCTCAGAGTATTTTGTATTTGAATCGATCTGGAATCTAAAATTTTAAAAATTACGCCCTTATACGTGTAAACAGTTCTAAGGTTATTTAAGTCATTTTAACAGAAAAAGAGCTTATCAGCACTTTTTTATCAAATACTGCAGCAGTTTATTATCAATTTCAGCACTTGTATCCAAACACGTAACTGCTTTTTTATTAAATCAGTTTCAACACTTAAAGTGCTTTTCAGCACCTAATATTTATCAGCTACTTCAAATCAGCTAATCCAAACGGACTCTTATTCTTTCGCGACATTCTCCTCCAAATTTGGAAAGGAAGGGATAAACATGCCTAAGGGGTCTTCATGAAACCAAAATATGGATTTATTATAGAGAATATACAGAGGAAGACAATAAGGCATAAGGTCTCATAAATATACGAGTAAATTTCAGGGATGGTCATTTAGCTTTGGATTTATTACCAAAAAATTATTTTTCTTTCTTTTGTTAGGTAAAAGTTATTGAAGTTTCTGTTCATCACTTAAATGTCACTTTTCTTTCTTTTTTTACACAAAAATTATTTTACTTTGCTCTAGGTATCACAAAAGTCACCTTGGCCTGATTTTATAATACTTTTACTTAAACAGTCTATTATGCCCTTGACATCATATAAATACTCTCATTATGTAAAACCTTCTATATATATATATATATATATATACTACATAATATATTTTACCTAGGTATTTTCTTATAATTAAATAACTTTAAATTTACTTTATTTATTATTTTTATAATATATTCATACATTTAATTTTCCCATGGCATTAATTTTGTTTGATCATATTCAACCATGAACATATTTTAAAATATAAAAACAACAAAACATATTTGTTTGAAATAACAAAATAGATTTGTTTAACAAATTATAGTTTTTTATAGTCAGTGTAACTTTTTAAAAAATTCAAAGATACTTGTGTTTAATATTTAGTTTCTTAAAGCTTTATCTGTTAATATTATTATTTGAAAGTGTTAATGTGATTTATCGATATGCTAAATGTGGGTATTTTATTTATTGAATTAACGAACACTGCTTGGCTGATAAATCTGTGAGCTTTAATTTTATAGTGTTTATGAAAAATATTTCATTAGGCGCAAGGTTAAGAACGTGACTTGAGATTTCCCCACAGTTTTATTATCGACAAATTTAATAAAGCTTTATCTTGAAAATTAACGTTAAAGAAAAATTAGATATACGATTATATTATAAAAATAATATTAAAATTATTTTAATTATAAGTAAAATACCTAGGTAAAATATATTATGTAATATATAATATAGAAGGTATTATATAAATGGGACAATTTATATAGGGGCGTAATAGACTTTTTAAGTAAAAATAATATAAAATCTAGCCAAGGTGACTTTTGTGATCCCCAGAGCAAAGTAAAATAATTTTTGTGTAACAAAAGAAAGAACAGTTACTTTTGAGCAATAAACACAAAATTGAATGACTTTTACGTAACAAAATCAAGTGACTTTTGGGTAATGAATACAAAATTGAATGACCACCCATAAAATTTACTCTAAACATACACATTAAACATTTGGACGATATGGACTTAAAAGACATGAGAGATACGAATATAACTAAGAGTACAATTTATGAAACAAATGATGTGTGGTTATGGATATGGAATTTTTCAACTAAGACAAATGTAGAAACTAAAGAGAAAAAAATGACTTTGGTAGCTTAAGAGTGGTAACATGTCATCTCTTTTTACACCTCAATTTCTTTTTTGGTCATTAAGATTATTTTATTAATCACCAAGGAGAAGCTTTACAAATTCACGGTTTAGCTAAAACACAGCTAACTGTCCAAAAAATAAAAGCCAACCTAACTCCTAACAGAGGGAGTAAATCTAGTAAAGGATAAAGACAGCCTTCATAAATTTTCCTCTGTTAGTGTTTCATAAGGACCTAGTTGAACTATAGCAAAAAACTGACACACTTCCTCATAGTACAAATGTATTATCAAAAACTCATAGTTGAAGAAGTTTGGTTGTTTCATTAGAGGCTCGAACATTGCAGGTATATGCAATTTCTCTCGCCAACCTTTCTCCATCTTTGTATTTGTTTTCAAAGATCCTCTGGTTCCTTTCTAACTAAATAGCATGGACAATTTCCGCATAGACAAGCCTGAACACTTTAGCCTATTGTGATCTACCTTTGCCATATTTAGTGGCCCAAAGTAGATGTTGTTCCCAGTTAGTTGCTGCATAGGTCCATTTTTTATGCCAGATCATTAATCTGCTCCATAGGCTCTTCACAAATGCACACTCACTGAAGATATGGCTATTGGTTACCTCTTGGTTTTGACAGAAAACACACCTAGAATCAACATGTATGGATACCCCATTTGGATAGTCTTTCTCTATGAGGAGTCTATCTTGTAAGTGGAGCCACATTGTGAATGTGGAGCACATGAATGTATATATTTCTCTTTATTTAAAAATTAATAAATATACATCTTTGGATTAGTCTCGCTTTGTAATTGAAGTATGTGTATACAGTAAAATCATGTGTCCCCAATTTTGTGGGCTCGAGGGCTCGCATCGAAGAACGAACTCAATATGGGCCGGGTTCGAGCCCGAGGGCAAAACATAAGGCTCGAAGATCGAAGTACACGATGAGCACCGAAGCCGAGTATGACCAACCCCAAGATGATGCCATTATGGGTTAGTAACAGAAAAAGCAAGATTGCCGCCGCGTCCCCAAGATCATGGCGCAAATTTCCGAATAGATATGTACGAGTTAGTACGAATCCGTACTAGGCGGTTAGAAAACTGTCCCAATAAGATTCTTTACTGTAAATAGAAATGTACCTTATTTAGGGTTCCCCTACTATATAAAAGGGACCCCAATCATTTGTAACGATAGTCAATCATTGGCAAAAGAATATACTCTCTTACTTTCTTGCTCATTACTCATCAGAATTATCTCTTAACTTTATTGTTCTTATTTTATTGTTCTTGCTGACCAACCTCGAGGCCGTCTATCTCGAGGTCAAAACTTGCTTAAGCTCTGGTTTGATTCAACTATCTTCTTTGGTTTATACGTTTGATTTCTTAGTTATTAATTAGTATTGAATTAAATCACGTATCTTTAAAACGACAAACAAGTTTAATTGTTACTTGTATTTTCGAGGTAAACAGTTTGGCGCCCACCGTGGGGCTAAAGAGAATAGTGGTT